CTCTCTCTCTCTCTCTCTCTCTCTCTCTCTCTCTCGCTCTCTCTCTCGCTCTTTCTGTCTCTCACACTCTTGAGACCACCCGCGCCCTACTCTGCGATACGCAGCAGTCGATATCTTTTTTTAAGATATGCGAGGTGCATTAAAACGTTAGGATGTTACTGATAAATATGTCTGGAGCGGTGACTCATTCCTATGAATTCAACCACAGATGCGGGTAGGACTATCGCAATTCGGTTCGTGGACCGGGCGAAATATCTTTGATACACAAACGAACTCTTTGTCTGAACCAATTTTCATCGCCTGCAGTTTTACGATACCGCCGATCATCTAATGAATGACAGCAGATAAATCGAACTGTGTTCGAGTTACTTTTTCATCGACATAAATCCCGTACGATACAAAGACGGTGTGTGTGATACTTGCCTGCCCATCACTCGAGGTTTATTGCAAACGACTTCTTTTTAGTCTATCCGCTCGAATGACAGTAATAAATTCATGTTGTTTTTTTCCATTTTACACGCATAATTTATTGAGGCTGCCCGTTGTTCTCTGCTATTCTCTTTCACCGATACGCGCTCCGCGTAACTTCGCTCTTAATTTACTCATGCATGCACTCGCGCTCGCTCGCCATCCGTCACCCTCGCTCTTCAAAGGCGGGTAGCAAGAGTAATGCGTGAGAGTGGAGCTGTTCATGCATGGACCTACGTCATTCATCGATATCCCTGTTATATATTTATCAAAGCATCCTTGATATATATTTATTAAAGCATCCCTGTTATATATTTATTAAAGCATCCCTGTTATATATTTATTAAAGCATCCCTGTTATAAATTTATTAAAGCATCCCTGTTATATATTTATCATATTATTGACTAAAGCATCGTGCATTGGCATTGTAGGCCCGCTAGCTCCCGCACGCACGGTTTGTTTTACTTTACAGTTCTCATCTATTACTTGTCGCTGACATCCCCCCCCCACACCTAATTAGGATCGTGATGATTCTCTGATACAAAGGGTACCGCGTACTCGGTACATGTATGTGTCTGTGTCCGTGACGTCACACTATTACTGCGATGTTTCCATATAGATAACATGCAGGTCGTGTCCGTGATGTCACAGTATTGCTGTGAGATCTCTGTACAGTCGCTCGGATCGTTTCTGTGATGTCACACTATCACTGCGAGGTCTCTTTATGGATATTCCGGTCGTATCTCAAATGTCACAGTATTACTGTGAGGCCTCTATGCAAATACCCAGGTCATGTCCGTGATGTCACACTATCACTGTGACGTCTCTATATAGATACTCAGGTCGTGTCTGTGATGTCACATTGGCACTGTGACGTCGCTATACAGATACCCAGGTCATGTCTGTGATGTCACACTATTACTGGGAGGTCTCTATATAGATACCCAGGTCGTTTCCGTGATGGCACACTATAATTGTGGTTCTAGGACAAATATCCCCCGGACGATCATCCCCCGGACAATTACCCCCTAAGGAGAGTTGAAGGTAGGCGCGGGAGTGGAGCAAGGAGAGTTGAAGGTAGGCGCGGGAGTGGAGCAAGGAGAGTTGAAGGTAGGCGCGGGGGCAGATTAAAACGCGAACGGTGGTCGTTGCCGGAGCAGCGGGCGAATGTGTCGGGAGTTGCGGAGAGTGCCTGCTGATGTCTCGAGCGGTGCCGTGTGTTCGGGGGTTGGGCTACGTCATTGTGTTTTCGAACCGCATATTAGCGAACAGGTCTGCAGCCGTTAGCTACACGTGTACAAGTGTGTATTTACAACGTGAGATGTTAATGAGCAAGGAATGAAGCTGCAAGACCGTTTACTTGTTGAAATCTGTTCGGGTTTTGATGTCGGAAGCGACTGATGACATTGAATAGTGTGAACAGCGAGAATATGACGTGTGCCTGCCAAACTCTGATTGGTTTTATCAGTGAGGAAGAGTTTGCGTACAGTTTTGATTGGTTTGGGCAGGTGCCCTAGATCCGGTGAAACAGTCTATTGGCAGAGCTGCAAGAAGTTGAGCTATTAGGTAGACAGTAAGTTGGTAGAGGGATCGTGTAGCATCGATGCAGATGTTAGAGTAATATTAGGTGATTTCAGTGTTATACTGTGGCAGTAACTTGGAACATGCTATGGAAATTTCGTGTTCCGGTTCATGCTTTGGCTCATAGGGTCTCTGTCCCCCAGGGTACTGCCGGACCGTACCGTGGGTACGGTCTGGTATACCGGAACGTACCCTGGTAACTATTTGATATGGTTAGGGTTAGGGAGTAGGCGTAGGCGACTCCCTAGGCTCGTTAGTGGAGTAGGTGAGGTACGGTCCGGCATATGTGACCGGTGATAGCGAAATGAGTCACTTGGGGCAATTTGGACATTTTAGGTTGAATACATATTCAGATACCTGAGATTCATAGCTTTCTATTGTTATATAGATATTGAAAATTGGTTGAAAAATGAATATTTTATTACCATTATAAATCGAGATACCATGCGATTAATATTTCCTGAGAATTGTCTAAAATAAGGGCTGAAAACTAATATCATTCACTGATATTATTAGCCGACACTTCTTATAAATCATTCAATTTAAGCAGGTTTTAATTGAATCAAGACATTTTTGCTTATACAGATCAAAAGTAAACATTGTAGATGGTTTTTTTTGAAGAAAAAAAGAGTACATTTTTATGCATAATTTTATGCTGTAAAAATCGATTGTAGGGCCTACTGTAGAATGCTACTGTGAGACTTCCGACTCATTTGGCTATCACGGGTCACATATTAGATAGTAGGTTCCGGCAGTACCCTGGGGGACATAGACCCTCTCAGCCATGCTTCGGTGCATATGCATATTAACAAGAGCTAATAATACCTATTATTAGATCCTATAGGTATTATTAGCTCTTGATATTAACAATAGCGTGTGCACCATAATGGTTCATTAAATGAGTGGCGTGCCATGTAATGGCAATTTGTAGATAGTTAAATTGCGTACAACACAGGCGCAATATGCTCATCTTGAGTATAGATATATACATAGATATAATATATATATAGTCATACAAAGAACAGCGTCTATTGTGAGCGTTTTGAATAAGCTCTTGGATAATAAACTTTTCAGACCTTGTTGTCGCTAGATGGCGCTACGTGGCTGTTTGTGGGAATGTTACTGTGATTCTTTTCATATTCGAAAGAATAAAAACTTTGTTAGTGTCGAAAATAGTCACTGTTTCATTTATATTCTTGACATGAAGATGGCATATAATCTCCACTAATGTTTAAACATCACAATAGTTTCATTGATACCTAAGCTCAGCATGTTTGTAGACAAGTATCGGTTATTAAATGAGGTTATTATAAACCCATTGCTGAGAAGCTAGTTAGGTAATTGTCTATATACTTTGCTTTTTAATAGCCCTATTCAGAAATACAGGATGACAAACTAAGCCAAGGAAATATACGAGTCCAAGAAAACATGACACACACTGGTCCACGTCGAATTCATGGTACTTGTCTTGCAATTTACAGCTCTATCTACAATTATTGAGTGATTATCTATATACATAAATCATTGAATGTCAAAAATAAATGCGTAATCAAAACTCGCCTCTTTCAATGGCGCTCGTTGTAATTACTCTAATCATGAAATAATTATGTTCTGCTCTCTTAAAATAATCCATGCAGAGGTAATTGCAATCGCGACCTTGAGAGAATTGCTCTGGACATTAACCAATACTGGTTCTCTCTCTGAAGCGGAAGAGACCGCTGTGTTGGTGTAACCTATACGATATATACTATACGGCTATAATTAGTAAACAGCTAATGCTAATGCAGAAGGGTCCGTACTCATCTCTGGTGCGTCTTTGGTTTGGGTTCGGTTTGCCTCGTATAATTATGTATATGATATGATGATATATTTGTGTGCGCGTGCGTGCGTGCGTGCGCGCGTGTGTGTAGGTATATGTGTGAGGATACATTTATGTGTGTGCGTGAGTGGGTGGGTGTATTTGTGAGCGTTAGTGCGCGCGTACGAGCACGTGTACGTGCGCACGAGCACGTGTACGTGCGCACGAGCACGTGTACGTGCGCACGAGCACGTGTGCGTGCGTACGAGCGCATGTGTGCGTGTATGCGTGCGTACGAGCGCATGTGTGCGTGTATGCGTGCGTACGAGCGCATGTGTGCGTGTATGCGTGCGTACGAGCGCATGT